TCACAAGGTAGGATGGCGATATGAAAGTGGTTATTTATGCCAGATGGGATACGAGTAGAGAGGTATAACAGAAGAGTAAAATTGCAGATCCTGTATCCTAAGTGGGGTACCTTAACAAAATGATTCACACAGAGGAAAACATGCAACCCAAATCATAATAAGCTGACCACTTAAAGACTGGTATTGTAATTACTCGGTCGGTCGCATGGAATCTGGATGATGTACCTAGGTACACGGTACTTTTAAGTACATAGTTAAGTATCTTAAGGATCTGACAGCTCTGTACTGTTGAATGGAAGTACCAGGTACTTACAGCATGGAAATATATGCTTGAGATCTTCTTTCTACCACTTCGAGAATAAACCCCATCACCCTTTCTATTTTCAATAAGACAAGACAAAACTCAGTGTTGTCACAGTCCATACTGCACTTCTAACTCGTCGGTTCATGACTTTAAGCATTGGACTTGTGCCACTCTTTTACTCCGTACCTGACGCCTCGATTCGATCCTGTAAGAATTAGATGTAGGCACCTTACTGCAGATTTTATTCTGTAATCAATCTCACCGCACATTGACCACCACTCAAGTATCTAGATAGTTGTAACACCGAGTTGTTGTAGTACTTCATGTCGGCCAAAGAAGTCTAGACCCCTACAGAGTCCCTTACTGATTGGAGGTCAATCTGAAAAGTAAGCTCGAGTTTCTTGATCTGACTAAAACTGAATCACTATTTGCAGTCATCACTCATGCAGATGACGTCCGCAGTCCTACGTGGTATGAACTTCATGTCCTTGAGAACGATACTTGAAGTAAACTAGTAAGATACAGGACTGAATACTGGAAGTACACATGATGCAGGTTCAGGCTGGTGACAAATCAGACAAACCTATATTATAAAATGAACCATACTGATGCAAGTAGGCCACAGACTACCTACTTATGAATCTTGTAAAAAGAGGAGATGAAGGGGTAGTTTCTGTCTAGGGACAATCAGTCTACAAGGCGCATGGTTAGAGTAACATGAGCATACTGCTAGCGTGATCGATATAGTGGTAGTAAGCCGATGTGTACCTCACTATTTAGCGATAAGTAGTCAGATAAGCAAAGCATTAAATTGTTCTCCACTTCGGTCCGCTACTCCGCTTTCGAGGCTAAGGGACAGTGAGGAAGCTCAGTCTTAGGATCTTAGTACCTTGTGGATTGGTGAGCAACTAGTCCGGACTAGGTTATTCAGAGCTCCCATACAACGCCTGCTTACTGGTTTGCTTCCTCTGCATCGTTCTCTTCACCGTTCTCGTTGATGTGTATGCTGGCCTCAAGTTAGGGAGATTTCTCACTGCCCCTTCCTTTTCAAATATTTCAATCGATGCATATCGACTGAATGCAGGCTTGAACATCCATTCTTAATCCATTCTAGCTGTATAATCACATCATACCTTGACCTTTTTTACCCGGGAGGGTCACCGTCTTCAGTGGGATGATGAGGAGGTCATGTTAGGGTTCTCAAAACGACAGAGGGAGCCAGATGAGCTGACGGGTGATGCTGAAATTGGGCCCAGGGGGAACAAGGTCCGTATTCTTTCCGATGGATGCCATGATCATTCTGTTGAAGCAAGGCCAATCTGCGGCCTACCCGATTCATGTTGCACTTTTTCTTGCCTGCAAGTCATCCACACTACAACTACTGATAGCCGCGCGTCCAGAAACCACGCCCTCTAGCCTTGCGCACCTCGCCAGATAACCGAGGACTCTCCTACACCGAAGCTTGCCAGGCGTCAAACCGGCCTGGTATACCTACTTTGACTCCTGCCGAGTCGTCAGATGATGATGACGATGGCATCACTAGAACGTTACACGATCCTACAACGGCAGCCGTAAACGCCTCGCGTTGTGTTCCGCAGAACCTTAACTCCTCCGTTCCTGTATTTAGCACCACGATGGACGTCGACAGCATAGGGGATCCCTATAACTTTACTAGCAATGAGATCCCGCACGACTGGCCAGGCAGCACGCCTCAGAACGGAAGCGTTCAACCGTCACCAATCCCACACCATCTTGTCAATCAGTTCCTCAACATCAGCGAACAAGCTAAAGTATTCAGTATATCCGAACATGATTCCGCAGGCAATCCGTCCGTGCAAGTGATGGATCAGGGCTTCGTGGAATCTACAAATAAGAGTGGCCGTCCTCGAAAGCTGTCTACCGAGAGTAGTCAAGAAACTGTTGGTTCCACTCAGCGTCTCCCAAGTCCAATCAGCGAGGACGATATTGCCGCTTCTCATGGAAAGTGCTCTACGAGTGATGCAGAGATGACAAGTGGTGCATCTCGATCAACATCCCCGGCGCTCTCCCCATTTCAACGAGACCCGTCGCAGTGGTTCGGCACGACTGAATCTCAACAGCAAGCCACACGGTCCGGCTATGTAAACGGACTCCATTTAAAGAAGAAGAAGGTATCCTTTGCCATGGGATTTCGAGCTGATTGCGACAAATGCCTGCGCAAGGTCCCGGGCCACTACAGCCATATTATCCGCAATTGACATCTTTTGTCCGACTTACGACAACATGTATAATCCCTCATTCACCACCATGCGACCTTTCTGATGATACCTGTTTTACCGTCATGATTCATCTTGTTGAGTGCTCTTGAAACCAATATACCCATGGAAGCAACGGTTCAGAGACGTCACAGAGCTTCAATGTTCATAATGATGGGGCCACGCAACCCACATTTGTCAATGCTCAATAGTCCCTATGAATGAAAACTTTCAACCTTTCTATTCTACACAATCTTTCCCAACTGGCCCAGGGGAGGCAAGACATGTAGAAAGGTAAGGTAGATGCTTGAATTCACTTGATGTTTTCTCATTTCCGACAAACCGATCCGAGACCGATGACGTAAGCCACCGCAATCCGATTAGGGGTCGGATTTCCCCCTACCAGATATCCGAAAAACAAATGGTGCGCGAAGGTGTAAGCAAGACGAGCCAGATGACCTTCGAAATAGTCCGAGTAGGCAGGAAACAAACGAACAATATGAATGGGAGCTGAATATGACAACGAGGCCTTCAGGTTGCATGTGGTGCATTTTATGAACGATAACATCCCCACATCTTGCCATCCTCAGATTGCCTCCGCTGCTGTCGGCGGCAGATCCCTTAGCCGAACTTCATTGCCGGCAGTTCAATGGCAGCTTCAACGCCTCGTCTAGGCAAGACGGGTCCCGAACCCCGGACTCCAGCCGGGTAGCCTCTTCTATATAAGTATTTTGCCGGGTCCTAATATTCCTGGGCAATCGGAGGCGAAATTCACTAATACTGCTCGTTGAAGGTGTATTGGAGGATATCCGGTCACTGTCTCGGCCACGCAACTTCGCCCAGCTTGACTCTCTCTCGACCTAGAATAATCTCGACAGGCGCCTGTCTCCGATTGTGGCGGCCACAGACCACTTTCACAGACGTTCGAATGGCTTCTCCTGTTCCCCGCGGCCTTCGCCAGGCCCTCCAGAAGTCCCCTTCAGATATCGTCATTCTCTCCGCACTCCGTACACCAGTAACCCGCGCGAAGAAGGGTGGATTCAAGGATGCTTATCCCGAAGAGCTACTCACCCACGTGCTCAAAGCAACTCTCGAGGCGAACCCGAATCTCGACCCAGCTCTGATTGATGATGTCGCTATCGGCTCGGTCCTTCAGGAACTAGGCGGTGCCAAAGCAGGGCGCATGGCTCAGATCCACGCCGGCTTCCCTCACTCAGTCCCCTTCCACACAATCAACAGGCAATGCTCGTCCGGTCTGGCTGCTATCACAGCCATTGGTAATGGAATTCGTGCAGGTGCACTGAACATTGGCGTTGGTGGTGGTATGGAGTCTATGACCCGGAACTACGGGTCCCGTGCTATCCCGACAGTTTTATGGCCAGAATTGAAAGAGTCGCCATCCAAGGATGCTAGAGACTGCATTATGCCTATGGGAATTACGTCTGAGAACGTTGCCGCCCGCTACGGTATCTCGAGGGCGGATCAGGATGCATTCGCAGCCGAGTCGCACAAGAAGGCTTCAGCTGCCCAAAATGCTGGCCTGTTTGACGCTGAAATCGTGCCAGTCAAGACCCTTTGTTTTGACCCAGAGAATCCTGACGCGGTGCCCAAGGAGATTACCGTGACAAAAGATGACGGTATCCGTCATAACATTTCTGCTGAGAAGATGGCAACTTTGAAGCCTGCCTTCAAGGCAGATGGCACTAGCACCGCCGGAAACAGCTCGCAGGTCAGCGATGGTGCCGCTGCTGCTTTGTTGATGCGCCGTTCTACCGCTACGGAGCTTGGCTTGACTGCTTCAATCCAGGCTCGCTGGGTTGCCACCGCTGTGGCTGGATGTGCTCCCGATGAGATGGGTGTGGGACCCGCAGTTGCCATACCCAAGCTTCTTGAACTTGTCGGCATGAACGTTTCCGACGTCGGTATCTGGGAGATTAACGAGGCTTTCGCCTCGCAGGCTCTTTACTCTGTGCGCAAGCTTGGAATTGACGAGGCCAAGGTTAATCCCAAGGGTGGTGCCATTGCGATTGGTCACCCCTTGGGTGCTACTGGTGCCAGGCAGCTTGCCACCTTGCTACCTGAGCTCCAACGCACTGGGCAGGACGTTGGTGTAGTCAGTATGTGCATCGGAACTGGCATGGGTATGGCCGGTATGTTTGTTCGGGAGTAAATGTGTTGATTCCATCTGGTATCAATTGTGGTGTATCTATGTTATGATAACGGCGTAAAGACATGTATGTACATCATAGCGTTAAACTAGATATCCCTTTGCTATGTTCCACACCTATCCTTCTATCCGAATGATTGTATGAATTTCCTCCAAAATAATCAGAAACAGTGAGCAATGGATTGGTTGTGGTGCCAAGACTATTTTAAGTCACGTGACAACACTGCGGAAGATCGCTCGGCATCATGAAACTTTTCGGTGGTGGATAGTCAACAATTTCCGCAACGCCCCAGTCATGCGTCAATCACTGCGGATATTGAACCTGGAGGTGTCACCCCTTCAGGGCTCCAGAACCCTTTACGTTTGTTCGATCTGTAGACAGGACGTGCGGCCGCGCCCCGTCCTTGTCCGTCAATTCCTGCGAAATGCCTCGAACGCAACACCGCTCACCGAACGAGTGCGCCGCAAGATTTGGGGAACGGACAATCCGCCAGGCTTGAAAGATCCATATGGAGGCGAAGGTGTTCTTGAGCGGAAATGGAAGAAGCAGCCTGGACAACAAGAGGAAGAACCGGCTCGCGCGTCCACTGAAGCTCTGGAAACCCAGAGCGAGGATGCCTTATCTGATACCTACGAGCCTGCAACGACATGGGAGGGTCTTCCTCGTGTTGGTCACCTAGGGAAGTGGTCAGACCTTCCCCCTACGGAAGCTGATGCGTTCAATCCGTAAGTTTGCTACTCTTTTCTCTGCAGGCCGTTACGCACTTTTTTCGCGGCCGCGGCAGCTTCGGTGAATGACAACGAGCTCTTTACTCACTGTGAATCCAGCTTCATGCTCAAGAAGAAACTGACCAAGGAGGGCCACCTTCATTTGGCCGCTCACCAAGCCGCAGTCGAAATCTGCCTGATGCATGCGCTGAAGAAGCCGCTCACGAAGATCTGCGACGTCGTGGAACATGAAAAGCCCGTTTTCAAACTGATCTGGAAGTGCAAGATCGAGCCGAATGCAGAGAGTCAATGGGGCCAATCTTTGGTCTATCCGGACGACGAATCGAAGGATGTTCTCGTTTACATCTTCGAGCAGATTGGTGGAGGAGCCGATACGACTGCAGCACCAACCGAGGAAGAAGTGCAAGAGGACGCTGAGACAGAGGAACATGAGGAACCCGTCGAAGACTCGATATCGCAGGCCCCCACCCCTCCATTCTTCGGTTACCGTAGTGTGCAGGATAAGGGATTCCTCTCCCTGTCATTGAACGATCCAGAAACTAAGTTTGCTGTAAGTTATCTCGCATCTTTGATTTAGTATCTAATTGAGGCATTCTGCTAACTTCCCGTTAATCATAGTTCCTGAAGAGACTGTCTCAGTTGAGCGGTCACTATTTCCCTGATCCTGTCATGCATTCGATCTCCACTGTCAAGCAGGCCGTGGAATACCTTGAGGGAGTCGTCAATCCGAAGCCCACCAAGTTGGCCGATCAATTGGTCAACAACCCCGAGCTTCAGCACCTGCCTAACGTCAAGCTCTTTACCAAGCGACAGACAGCTTTGCACAAGGATGAGGAATTGGGTCGGAAAAAGATCATTGAATCTGAACTTCGTGCAAGAGGCCTTATTGAATAAATGTGTCTCGGGTTCAGAATGTTACACTATGTCATATAGTTTGATTAGGTAGCATTTTTTCTTTCTCTTCTGAATGGGGAATATCTGTACAATACATGAAATATCCTTTTGGAATATTTACAGCATCGAGTTAGTGTTAAAGCGTCTATCGAATATTGGATTTATCAGAAGAGCCGGTGCAGTAGCCGACAAGCATACCCCGTTAACGCCGAACGCCTTCAGAATGCACACATTAGAGCTCATTATCTCTTAGAGGGCATCGTGTAGCCTCTCGTCATATAGTCACTATTGGTGGACTTGACGTCTCCAGACCTTTTAGTAAAAAGACTGCTAATATTCTCGTTCGCACCCATTATTTTCCGACGCCTTTTCTTCTCGTTCTCCTCTTCCAGGACTCGCGCGGTCAGCATCGCAGTCGAGGCGTTCTTGATACCATTTGATGCATTGGGAGTCGGAGTCGAGGTATTACTTCGACTCGAGGCTGCAGCCCGATCCTTTTGTGAGTACGAAGCCAGGGCTGGCTTGGAGTCTGCTTCGGTAGTGGCTTCAGTCTCGGCGGAATCTCCATTAGCATGCTTCTTGCGCTTTTTAGAGCCAGGAGCTTTCTTGAGGGAATGAGTGAGCCCTTGCTCGGCTAGCTTTTGTGCTCTCGCCATCAGCCGTTGTTTTTCTGATTCTTTCGGTGGAAGAATTGGGATGACATTATCCTCGGCGTAGGGCTCGTTGCACTGTGCGTCGCAGACTAATTAGCAACAAGTTGCGGCGCTGAGATGTGGCTCACAAGAAACATACCTGTAGACACTTATCGTCCTTAAGTTGACGAATGGCTTCTTCTGAAAAGACATGGCCACATGGGACAAGGTAGACCGACTTCACACTCGGACCTAGCTGCTTAGCAGTGACGGGACAGATCCACGCTTCGCGTCTATCATGCTTGCTGGATGGGTGTTCGCCACGCTCCGTATCGACTTCAAACTTCAGCTCAACGACATCACGGAGTCCTTTCACTCGCCCGCATAAGATCTCTTCGCAGTCTGCTTTAGAGCTGATACCCTGGGCGTCGTCACCGGGAAGCAGAAATTCCAATATTGCATCCTTATTATATAGATTACCGACACAGTCGGAGACAATCGGTCGAGCTAACGGTCTATGCGACAACGGACAGGTAGTCCAAAAGTGTTCTTGCATTTCACGTTGGGCTTCTTTCACTTGCGCTGTGCTGGGAGCTTTTGCGGCCTCTCTGACGAGCTCGCGGCGAGTGGGGATACTATGCAAGACCTTAGATGGACAATCTCACTGATGAATCGCATTAAAAACACTTACCTGCCACCATCATTACCCATATTTTCAGCGATTAATTCCAGAAATTTCGTATATAGAGTATCTGAGAAGTGTTGCGACAATCTCATTCACAGATCAGTCGTCGCTTGCCACAGAAGAATGATAACGGGATGACTAAGGCGCCGGTCTATTCTCCCCAGATTGCTTCCGCCGCCTTATCAACAGCTGGCCAGAAGCTCTCTCCGCATTCCTATAGAACAACTGTCCCAGGCACAACAAGGCATTGACGAGCAAGCTCAATGCTTGCATCATGATACTTTCTCAGGGAGTGCTCTTCTTTGCGAGCATAGCGGCATGCTCTACCGCCGCGGCTGCCGCGAGCGATGGTACAGCAAGACCTCGGGGTGTCGGTCCAGAATGTAAGTATACCATTACCATGCATCTTAGCTCATGTGAAGACTCCGTTCGCCTGCCATGATATTCGGCCCCCATAAAGCCTTGGTTATGATGCTTTTGTGACCACAACTACTATAAACACTTCATAAGATACGAGGAAGCTAATGGCGCAATTCGCCCGCACCAGTTGCCAAGTTCTACAAAGACACAACGACATTCAGCTGTATATCGAACCCAGCCATACAGATCCCCTTCTCTGCCGTGAACGATGACTACTGTGACTGTCCAGATGGCAGCGATGAGCCTGGAACGTCAGCATGTTCTTATTTATCCCGTAATTCCCCCCTGACGGCCGCCGATCGGCCGGGGAACAGCGACCTCGAACTTACACTTGCCCTTCCGGGATTTTATTGCAAGAATAAAGGCCATAAACCGTCATATGTTTCTTTTCAGCGAGTGAATGATGGTGTCTGCGACTACGAATTCTGCTGTGACGGAAGTGACGAATGGGCGCACGTCGGGGGCACCAAGTGCGAAGATAAGTGCAAAGAGATTGGCAAGCAATGGCGCAAGCAAGAGGAAAAGAGAGCGAAGTCCATGACGGCTGCCCTCAAGAAGAAGAAGGATCTGCTCGTGGATTCCGGCCGACAGCAAAAGGAAGTCGAGGACCACATCAGGAGATTCGAAGTTGAAATCCAGGCACTAGACATGAAGGTGAAGGACATGGAGGCTGAATATGAGGAGGTAAAGAAGCGAGAAGAGAGCAAAATGGTGAGGGGCAAGAAGGCAGGCAAGGTTAACATCCTTGCTTCCTTGGCCAAAGGACGGGTTGAGGAACTGCGGAATGCGCTGGTAGAGGTTCGCAAGGAGAGGGACGAGGCTCGATCGCGGCTAAAAGAGCTCGAGGACATCTTGTCCAAGTTCAAAATCGAATACAATCCCAATTTCAACGACGAGGGTGTCAAACGAGCTGTGCGCAGCTGGGAGGAGTATGCTGCCAGAGAAGACGTGGGCAATCTCGGAAACAGCGCCCGCGATCGAGATCTGGATGAAATTGCCAAACCTGATGACGACACATCGGGAGTCAACTGGGAACAGTGGGAAAATGAGGAGGACGAGACCGATGCAGGTTCGTGCTTCAGCTATTTCATTGCGTATGCCGGTTCGATTGCTGACCTTCCATATAGTCTACAAGCTGGCAGCTTACCTGCCTCCTTCTATTGTGTCGTTTGTGGAAGATAAAGTGATTTCCATTCGGCGCTTCCTCGAGGACAACGGCATTCTGCCCAAGAAGGAAGAAGGCTCGACCGCCGAATCCAAGGCAGTGACCGAAGCTCGCGAGAGTCTTGAAAAGACCAAGACCAATCTTGCGGAACTGTACACTCAGCTGAAAAACCATCAAGCCGATCTTGAAACCGACTATGGAAAGGCAGGCGTTTTCCGCGCTCTTAAAGGCGTTTGCATCTCCAAGGATTCCGGGGAGTATACGTATGAACATTGCTTCTTGGACGAGACCAAACAGATTCCTAAGAAAGGTGGAGCAACTGTTCGGATGGGTAAATTCGGTCGTATCGGTTCGGTCAGCGTGGACGAGCTCAACGAGACCGGCGAGATTGTGCCCGAGGAACGGGTTTCTCTTGTGTACACGAATGGGCAGACCTGCTGGAACGGACCAGCTCGGTCAACCACAGTCATCTTGGAGTGTGGGGAACAAAACGAGATCCTCAAAGTGACAGAGGACGAGAAGTGTGTCTACTCCATGATTGTCACCACCCCGGCGGTATGCCCGGGAGGAGAAGAAGAAGGCGATGTGGCACCAAGACGCAAGGATGAATTGTAGAAGCGGAAGTTGTCAAATCCTGGGTTTAGGGTTGATGTATAGCGGTGATCTCCATTATGATTCATACAGGTTCAATACGAGACTTAGTCCTTTCTGCCTTGCTAGGTATTACTCCAAGATACACAGCGCCGACTTCAGGGGCCAAACACATGGTGAGGTGAATAATCGGACTAAGGGCTTTAACTGTAGAGGATCTGAATAATCTCAGGGAGCGAGGCTGGATTCCAGAGGAATATACACTATGCACATGTGTCTAACATAGAAAAGCCCTCCCCTTCTCCTCAAAGGTATTCTGCCTTATAACAGCTGCATCTACTCCGTAAGTAGCCGAAGGATTTGCATGTCCGTAGTCAGAGGAGCCAACGTCTGGAAGGATCTACTTGCAAACATATATACATATCCTTCGCGTCATTTCGCACGCTTTCTAGCCCATACCCAGCTTCGAACAGAGGCGCTCAAGCGTCGACTTTACACCTCATGGCGACTACATTAATGGACGGGCGTACACGCATTCTCAATAAGATAGAACTTGAATTTCCTATCCTATCATGCTTAAATCAAGCGACTGGAAGTCACTTCAATCACGCTATGCCAGTCCATGGACTCACGCAGAGAGACAGGTAGCAAATCAACAAGGAAAGAAAAACACATCACGCCCACGAACCCAAAGACAACCCCCGAATTGGCATATCTCACGACGTCAACGATAGCGTACTTGTGGCATCGTGTCAGGACATCCTGCAGGAGCTGCATGATAATTGTCTGTCGTCTCGAAGATGAGAGCCGGTGGGCTTATTGTGCCATTTAGTGCTGAGGAATAGTTAGCTTCCATATAGACTAGGATCGGCTCCGGTATCTGGGAGATACATACACCGCAAGAGGAGCAGGAGCAGCCGTTGCAGTCGCTGGAGCAGGCGCAGGAGTTGCAGGAGCAGGGAGTCATCTTGATTGAGTTGGTGGTGAACCAAGGGTTGCTTTAAGATAGGCTTTGAGATTGTATTGTTCAGTTGCTATGAGGCTTAGTATGAGACGGAGAAGAAGAAAACAGACAGAGAGGGAGAGCAGGGCTGCTTTTATACCCAGAAATGGACTCCCTGGTGGAGGTGGCCACTTATCAGTCAGTATGAAGGTATGAGGTCAGGGCAGCCAGCCAGGGCTTTGCTTTTGTTGTTTCGGGATGCAAAGGTCAGTGTTGGAACTTGTTTCTGTGTATCCCCACGCCAATTTTTGATTTGTTGTCAGTTGATTCAATCTGATTTCAGTTTTCTGAGAGTACCTTTCTGGTGGTCAATGTGGTGCTAAACTGCCACTACTGTATGTATACCGGTGGGGGGTATATGGAGAGGAGGAAGTAGAAGAGCGATGGACCTAGGAGGGGTAACCTTTCTACATTCACTGGGCTCTGCGATGTAGGTACACAGCCATGATTCGACTAGGCAGCTATCTAGGATACACGAGTATAGTCAGAGCCAGCTAAGTGCATACCGTTGCTCCAGTCATCCGTCATATTGGCTGATGTTGATCACAGCAGAACCCTGAACAGGCCTCTAGGCGAGTGACAAAGTGAGGCAGCAAGTAAGAAGGAGAGTTTGCAAGCCGATTATCGCTAAAATGCTTTCCTTGCCAGGTAAGTATATTGTCATGTTCTTATTTATTATGATGATTCCTTAGTAATGAATTGCTACGATCTCCCACGCTTTTACGCGGATACTAAATCCTAGCAGTTCCTACATATTTGTTTCAAAGATGTTCGTACTAGTGCAGTGTACGGCAGTCAGTGTGCATGTGCGGCTTGATGTTAGAGATAAAGAGAGTCCACTGTGACAATTAGGAGGATTCATTAATATTTCCATCTCTTAAACAGCTTTCTGCAAAGAATCTTCGATGGTGTTGATCTGACAGGCAGACGTTAGAGCAGAAGACCAGGCCACAGTCTGAGGCAAGACAACTTCATGACTGCAGTCATCCCACCCTTGCTTGATACAGATTCCGTGAAGCATTCCACAATAGGTTCTCCTACTGTAGCATTGAGCTTGTGGAGCACCACGAGTGGGCGGTTATGCAGGCAATTTCCTGCACTGGCCGCCTTTAGCCCAGTTAACGCTTCACTGCCCCTCCATCAGCCCCTCCTCCTACACCACGATTTACGACGAAGTCATTGGTTCAAAGACTGCATGCTTTCCCTCAAGCTCAGGCGCAAGGAAAGTGGAGGTTCAGCTGATGTTAGCGGGGGGTATGTTATCCTTCTCTTATGACCAAGTCAGAAGAAATATGGAGGCAGGAAAAAACTCCGATATACGGGAGGGACAGCATATACCTACCTTATATGGTGCGCCAACCGCGGGATCCGCGACAAACTCGCACATGATGATCAGCTCGGGTCCAAGTAAGGAATCAGGCGCACTGAGCCTTTAGAGGGTCTGTATGAAGTGGCAAGATTGGCAGGACCGAGGCAACTCTCCACATTTGCACCGCGTCAGAAGAGGATCGGGCGACTTGCTCACACGTTTGCTGATCTGATGATGATGGTCCGAAGGCTTCAAGCAGCCTTCGGCGACTACTATCGTTCTGCGTGTCATCTGGAATTTGCTAACTGCTGTGGCATGTCGGAAGAACATTCAAGGATAAACACGATAGAGCGTGTGTGTTCTCTCATGGTCATCCATGACAATGAACCCAGGGCATACTGCAATTTGTTGTTTACAGATTTGAATCTAAGCACTACTACTATTTCCAACTATCGTTTTGCAAGAGTAAGTCCAGAGTCCAGATAATGAGAGTTAAATGATTTTCTTTTCTTTATTGCTTCGAATCTAGCCGAAGACTGTTGTTCTTCCCCCCAAAGACGTAAACATAGTCCGTCCCCTAAGCTTCGCAGCATCCTCCCGAGAGGTAGCAAGTAAAATGTGTCATCCGCTCTACCTCTTCTGCAACCAGTAATCTTGTCAGTACCAGTCCAGGATGGAAAAAGCTATCAGTTGAGATGCAAACGTACAGGGCAGTTGCATTGTCCAGCAGGGCACTGGCAAGAGGCTCCGCAGGTGCAGCCGTGGTCGCCTATCAGGAAGACGCTTCATGTCAGTTGGAAGGTCGGAAACTTCAAAAAGGACTCGTGCAAGAAGAAATGTAGATGAGCTTTGACAGGCAAAATATATGAACGCAAACGAATATCGCAAGGCTGATTGCGAAGGGGAATACCCCGCTTCCCCTCAAATGACGGCATAACAGCAATGATTGATCAATATATGAAGCTGGCACTTACTCATGATGGCAGTAGTGATTATAGAGAAGGGAATAGCTCTCTTTGATCAAGTCGGTCTCGCGAGAAGCTTTTGTGTGAATTTTTGGAGGAGTCAAAATCTGAAACCCGAGCTCACGACGGGCGGGGTTGCTTTTATATAGGCCAAGTTGCCATTCTTGGCCTACCCCCGAATAGTACATCTAACATCTGTCATCAGCGAATATTTCGTCACACCAACATCGATTTGAGCAGATTTCTGCAGGTCGATGATCTCGGAGCTGCCAATAAGTTGTTTTGAAAGCATATTCCACAGTCTGGGAGTGTTTTTCCTGGCTACGACGAGACAGATATTTACATGAGAGGCTAGGTAACCGCCCATAAGCTTCAGTCTGCTAGAACCAGTACATTGAGAGAAAAGTCAGACATTACGCGCAGCAAATTGCCGACTTCAAATGACTAGAGTGAGCTTTGACGGAAGTTTTCACCACCTTGCTGTTTAAAATTATTAGTAACATTAGTCACCTCCATGGCTACGGACGCAATGACTCGCCCCATCTCGTGCCTGTGCGGTGATGCAGCGCAAGACGTTTTGCTTGACTGGGCTTCTGACCTTTCGACACTTAATCTATGCCACTGCATCGACTGTCGGGCCATTACGGGCATGCTGTATTCCTCTTACTATTTCCTGCAGACTCCCGGCCCGAGCTTGGATCGTCTCCAGAAATACCAGCAGTCGGACTGTATCAGTCGCTATTTCTGCAGAACTTGTGGAGCCCATGTGTTCGCCCGGCTGGAAGCCACTGGCAAAACTTTGGTCGCAGACGGAGTACTATTGGAGAAACCCCCGCCGGCTAGGTTTATACGGCATTGGAAAGCTGAAGATACCCGAGATGGCGGCTTGAGCTCTTTTCTGCCCGGAGACGCCAAACAAACAACATCAGCCTGTTGGTTAGACACTGAGCAGAATATCTGTAACGGACACGCCCAGGACAGCAACAAGCTGGAGGAACAAGGTCATGGCTTTCGCCGGCTGCAGGCTCGATGTCACTGTGGGGGCATTGAATTCTACATTACACCGCCAGACTCGAACTCCGCCAAGCCAAGGTCCCCCTGGCCAGATTTGATTGTTCCATACCATCTGGCATCTCCGGAGAATGTTGAAGACGTCAAGTGGTGGCTGCGAGATGGAAATACCAAATATCTGGTAGGAACATGCGCCTGTCGATCATGTCGTCTGGCCAGTGGGTTTTCCATCCAGTCCTGGGCTTTCATTCCCAGATCAAACATCATTTCGGGTGACGGAAAGTCCCTAGCCTATGGCTCAGGGACAATGCAGCAATATGAAAGTCGCCCCGGAATCTACCGGGAATTCTGCAATCGCTGTGGCGCAACTGTGTTCTGGCACTGTCAAGAAAGGCCGGGCGTCGTAGATGTGAGCACAGGTCTTCTCCGAGCCAGAAGCGGTGTCAAAGCCGAGGAATGGTTAGAATGGGCAACTGAGCGAGTGAGTTTCAAAGAAATGGCCTTGGAGCAGGAGTTGATTGAACAATTGGAAGTTGGATTGAGAAACTGGGGAGAAAGCAAGAAAAGACCTAATACTTGAGGTCAAGGATAATTCAGATCTTAACGGCAACATTGTTCCATTGAAGAAGATAGCTATGCTTTTCCTGTATGGAGCATTTCAACACGTAACTGACTGCTTGAGCCAGTATGTCAGGGTGTCTCGTCGAATGTTGTTGATAAGTTGCTGCATACTCGGTATCTGTTTCCATACGTCGAAGTCAACTGACAAGCACCCACCGCCTTCCCGATACGCTATCGGTCCCCCGCGACTTTTTTCCTCCCGGCGGCGGAAATCAAAATCGCAAAGTAAAAGAAAAAAAGTCGCGTCGTTTGATGCATCATTGCTTTCTTTGTTTGGTGCAACTTCACGTCTCCGTTTCTTGTTTCATAATCTCATTTTCTCTGCACATACTCGGACTTTGCTAGCTGCGGTACCATCATGCCGCCAGCTTTCGAGTTTCGAGGCAACGACCGACGGTCGCACAATAACAATAATCCAAGACATGAGTTCACTTTCCGATATGCACGACCCGGGACGGCCGAACGACCGCTCTTGACTACCAAAAGAGAAACCACTCCAGAGCCCATCTTGGGGGCTAAATCAGGAGATGAAAAACCGGCCATGAAATTTGCGCCTATTTCAAGCCTCAGTGACAGCGAGGAAGCCGAGATGGACATGTCCGATGATGATAAGGACGACGAGGCTTCGCATCCGCGCAAGAAGCGTGCGATAGGAACAAATTCTGCGATTGCTCCTACTCCCGCACCAGTCACAGCTCCAAAATGGTCCAACCCAGATCCTTACACTGTCCTCCCCCCGCCTGATGAGACGTTGGCGAAGAGGGTTGATGTCGTCAAGCTGATTCGCAAGGCGCGGATCGCTGAGAACGCTAAGCAGACAGCACCTGCGGATGCAGTGACGACCAACGAGGACTTTATATCCTTCAGTGGCTTGATCGACGAAGAAGAAGCCAGGATGAAGGTGCCGGACAATGCTCCTTCGGGACCGAAACGTCTGCAAGAAAGAGACTCTGCTCTCGGGAGCCGGAAGAGAACACACGATGACGAGATAAAAGGCTATTCCAAGAAGACCGGACGGCCCATGGTCAGATTCTACGATGATGGCTCGATTATTGACGAGTGGAGAGCGCGCCCGCATGAGGATGCAACTCCTTGGATGTCGCTCATGGAGCCTTCCTTGCACCTGGGTTCTCGGCTGCACAACGAAATTCTAGGTTTCTACCACTGGGTTAAGCCGATGCAGTATGAGCAGATTGTCCGAGCAGATTTGATTACAAGGCTGCAGGTAGCATTCCAAAGTAGGTACTATGGTGTGCAACTTCGTCCGTTCGGCTCGTTCGCTTCTGGCTTGTATTTGCCCACTGCGGATATAGATCTTGTTCTGTTGTCATCAAATTTCATGCGCAACGGCATAAAGACCTTTGGTGAGCGTAAAGGGCAGATCTACGCTTTCGCGGCCTTTCTCAAGAATCTTGAAATCGCCGTTCCTAATTCAATAGAGACCATCGCGCATGCGCGCGTTCCTATTCTGAAGTTTGTGGACAAGATGACCGGCTTGCGGGTTGACCTGTCGTTTGACAATGATAGCGGGCTCATCGCCAACAGCACGTTTCAGAACTGGAAATCAGAGTATCCGGCGATGCCAGTGATTGTAGCGGTGGTCAAGCAATTTCTGCTGCTTC